TATTATGACAATTTCAAATGCAGTATTTTTGGCATAAATCAATTCAACCTACTGTTTTGCTAATAGTAAAATAAATAATTACTTTAATAGGAATAATATTACAAGATACACTTAACAATATAAGCCGTCTATCTTTTTCTTATGTAGGTATAATAAATAATAATTCATCATTAAAAAAAAACTTAACACATCCATAACAGTGACCCACATTTTTTTCTTTATTCTTCTAAAACAATGTTTTTTTATAACAAAAAGCTTGATAGTTTAAAAAAAGGCTCCTCATAAGATATTCTTATAGCAGTTATAAAATTTTAGTAATTTACAGTCACAATTTTTTTTATAGCCATTAATAAAATTAAAATGTCGAAGAAATTGTATACCTCTACGGAGCTCTACCTATTTAATGGAAATATAACTATTTTTGTTTCTTTTTTTATAATTCGATAAATATTAAGTTTAAGGATTTGAAACTTTTTTCCACAACTTATATTTAAACACAATTCCGTTTTCAATTATTTTACACTAGTTTTAAACTATTTATACCAGAACTTATTGTCTTATTCACACCATCATACGGTATGTCAGTAGGTACTTATTGGTATATTATGAGTATGGCACGGATTAGTATGTACTTAAAAAATCAAAATATGTAAATATTTACGTTCTTATTTTGAGGAAAACATGTGTTAAAAACATGAAATATTTTTAAAAAAAATTACAAAATTACAAAAAAATCGGTATTTTATATTGATTTAATTAATTTGATTCAATTTAATTCATCTAATCATCTTCATTGTTATCTTCTTCGATACAATTGGATGGAACGTACATTTGGAGATTTTCAAATTTGAATGTACGGTGGTTAGGTCTCAAAATCGACTTGTAGGGGGGAGTGAATTTTTATGTAAATACATAATTTTATTGAATACAAATTTCTCAATTCTGATTTAAAATAAGCATATTTCGTTACACACTAAATAAAATGAGACTATTTTCATATTTGACATATTTTCACAAGTTTTGATGAAAATACATATTTATAAATATTTTACTAATATTTACATATTTCGTTTTTTCATGTACGCTTACTGTTTTTAGTTGTATTAAAACTATTATATTTTAATTTTGAAATTGAAAGACTTGTGATAGTGGAAAATGCAGAAAACAAATTAAATAAAGTTCAAGGAGAATCCGGAGTCATAATAAAAAATAAATTAAACTTCCTTAGTCGGTAAGAACATTGGTTTCAAAAAATTAAAACTATTAGTTTTATTCTTCCAAATGCAAATAAACATATGTCAAATGAGATTGAATTAACACTATCTGGCATATTTAGTATGAAATATGCCTCATTATGAACTCTTCTTCAGCCTCTACAAGTCAATTTTGAGTCCTAACCGCCGTACATTCAAATTTGAAAATCTTCAATGAAGATGATTTTATAAATTAAATTGATTCAAATAAACTAAATTAATGTAAAATACCGATTATTTTGTAATTTTTTTAAAAAATATTCACGTTTTTGAATACATATTTTAACATTTTAAGTATACATCAAAATCCGTGCTCTAGATTTATGACTTATAATAATAATAAGTTAAAAACAACTACCTAGTAATATTATATGAAATTATATTTTATGATATATTTAGGCGATTTTTGTTGGTCAAAATTAGTTCAATGTAACATATATGATATATCTAATAGAAAAATAAATTAGATACGATAGCATTATAAATATATTAAATATCCATGATATTAATATATTATTGGCTGACATAATTTTTTATGATTTATCATTGAATACCAAATTTAACACATCCATTTCAGTGACCTATCTTCTCAATGATAAGGTTATCTCAAAACCAATTGAAAATGGAAGTCACATATATTTTTGAGTGCCTATAAAAGAAGCAATAAGAAAAGTTGCTATAAATTGAATTGAAAAATGTTTTATACAATTTCAATTATTTTACATTTTTATTGAGTACTTGTAAGTAGTAAGTTCCATGACGATTCCATGTACGTTCCATAAACAACGATATTATATTTTTATCTGCGGTCGAGACTCGAGAGATGACAAAATATTTGGAATGAGGAAAAAATATAATCAGTTTTACACTTATACTGAGTTATACCCAAATGTTGTCACGATTTTAGGTTTATTAATTATATCAATAATCAATATTGTTTTTACTAATATTCTTGTAATCGTGTAGATAATCATTATTTAACTAAGTATCTACTTAAAATAATGTTCGATTATCATGATAAAGTCTGCTGATGTATTTTGTACATATATTATTGTCTATAAAAACAATATGTTTTTCTGAAACTTATTATTTTGTCTAAAAGAATACAAGTTCTATAAACTACTATATTTTATGAAACATTAATAGAAAGTTTTAATTGGCTCGAAATTCTGAAAATTAATCAAAACTTAGAACTCTGATTCCAAGCCAGCTTCATCAGGAGTCTTGGATATAGGGAGAAATGGCGTGTCACTAAAAATTTAACATTAAGGGGCCTCGGTAATGTCATTATTTAAGGGACAACATTTAGTCAATTTCTAATCTTGTCATAGCTGCCCGTTATGTATGTGGTAGTTGTAAATGATTATTAGTGTGAGTGAAATTAAATGCGGGTATCCTATCTAGTACGCACATGCACATGTCAAAAACTCGATAACCATTTAAATTTCACTACACGAATTTTACAAAAACATACATTCGTTTTGACAAAATTAAAATTAGTTAACATTGTCTGATTTTGATTCTGAAAAAATGTTTGAATTCAGCAGAAAAATGTCTGTAGATTGTAAGAAACATTTTCTGTTTTTAATATTAATTTTAATTTTAACTATGATTCGAAAAAGTTCATATTATTTTCAAGTTTTCATTTACAGTTCACAATAATATAAAATTTAGTTTTTACAAAGTGCTTCGTAGGATCTATAAACAATTTTCTGGTGAGTTCAAATATTTTTTCAGAATCAAAATCGGACAACGTTAACCAACTTTAATTTCGTCAATACTTTAGGTCTTTTCAGCTAAAATTAACTTTTACTATTAGAATACTTTTTTTCACAACTAGTTTTATTCAGTTTTTGAATGGTTGGTAATTAACATTTATTAATTAATAATTAAAAAGACATCTCAATCATATAAGTTATTTATACATTTTAACCACATATGATACTGCCGATCCGGAATACAACACATTGGTGTTTATAAAAATAATCATATCATAGGCCAATATTATATTTCATTCAAAAATAAAATTAATATTCATGATTTATAATATGTCTTGACACAAATTTAAAACTAATTTTCTGGATCGGAAAAAAGTGGTTAAAAAAAAAAGTATTCAAATACTTTTATTAAAATACTTTACAAGACTGCCTATTTGCTTCATAATATATATATATATATGTATCTATACCTTAATAATAATATTATTTAAAAGACTAAAATAAATATATCGTAATAATAATTAACATTCAACGATAAAAGATTTTTAATATTTAGAATTATTTTTAATTTAATATCATTAGAAAATGTTATTTTAAGGATTCAGAATTCATTGATATAAGTATATATATTTTTACTTGGATTATGTTTTTAATTGTTGTAAATTGTCGTATTTATATCTAAGCGTTATGTCGTTATGTGTATGTGATGAAGGAAGAGTAATGTTTGTATTTTTTTTTTTTAATCAAGAAATCTATATAGTAACTGTAGGATGTATAGGTATTATATTTTACAACGTATGAATGAAAAATCATTATTCTATGGATAAAAGCTATTTGGCATTCCATTATGGCGCTTAGGCAAGTTTCCTTAACAGTTCATGACAATCAGTCGCGTGCTATACATTTTATATTCAGACCACACAATAGACCAGAATGACTGGTAAAATACAGACTTGGACATGCTATACGCGGTGAATCATTGATGAATGCAACAAAAAAAAAATCTATCGTTTTAAAATTGATTATTATATATAGTAGGTAGTGTAAATATTGGGTATATCGGTTTTATCAATTTAAACCTACAGTGTAATGAAAATAAAGTACATTTATAGAGATTTATAATATGATACCTTAATATAAATTGTTTTACATTGTTCTATCATTACATTTAAATAATTTATAATGTAATATAGAATAATGAATAGGTATACAAAAATAAGGATTTTATGATATATTAGGTATTCGATCATAGTCTTTTAAAGTATCAACTAGGCTTTGGTCTTTGGATAAAAATGTAGTTTCTACTTTCTAAGAAATCGTATTTTGAGTACCTAGGTCATTAGCTGGGTTCTAGAATACTAGCACTGAAAAATGTAGAAATAAGCACAACAGATAAAATTAAACAAATTATTTGAAGGCAATCATATCTTTAAACAATTAACAAGAATAACATAGAAAATAAAATAAAAATAAAAATTTAGAACCTAATTAGGTTGATAAAAAATGATTATTATTATTTGGTTTATAATTTGAATTTGTTTGCCCATACTTAAACAAATAATCAACGGAATTATATATTTTTTATGAATTAATAATATATTTAATACATTTACTGATATTAGTCATCAGACAAATTTACATTAAACCAACACAATAAAGAATTAAAATTAATTCTGAATTTTGAATTTGTAATTATTAAGTACCCATAGCATAGCCTATCTGCCTATATACTACCTATATTGAGTATATAGTACTACCTATACTCATGATACATTGCTTTGCTCGTTCTAGACGATGTTTTTCAGTATTGATATCATATAAGCGCTTTATTATAACTGTTTTAAGATAGACTTATGTAAAAAACAATATAATCAATATGACTCAATTATTTCAGAAAGTTTTGGCCCTAATCTAGAGAGTTCATTATTTAAGTTTTTTGTGCCATTAAAACCATTATAACAATTTAATTCTCATAATTTAGGTAATATATCTATATTCTATATCTAGCAAATTACAATTTAGACTTGAGTTAATGTGAATACTTGGCTACCAAAGCCCAAATCCAATACATTTCAAGACGTGTTATTAAGCTATTATACAATTTTGGTTTTTGATTGGCCGTAAAGTGTGCCTTAAATGCCTTAATGGCTTGAATCTCATCACTTATATTGTAACCGTAAACACCCAAATAATTGACAAACAGCTTCTGGTCTGGTGTACTCGGGCACGGCGTTGATGGACTGTACTTGGCAATTACGACTGTCTCGTTCATTTCATCGTTATCCAACCAAGCACCTATGCCATAGTTCTTATACAATTTTCTCCATGGAAACATTACACCTGGATCAATTTTTCTGTTCGGAGCTATATCCGAGTGTCCGACTACATAGTGTGGTAGCACTTTATACTGATCGACCATTCGAGCCACCATTAAACCGACAATGCGAATTTGATCTTGATAAAACGGGTCCCACGAATCATTTGTAGCATTATATCCATAATTAACGATTTCGATGCCTATTGATATGGAATTGATTAACGAGTAGTTGCCCCATAAAGATATTCCGGCGTGATTCGAAACGCAATTCTCTGGCACGACCTGCAGAAATCACAATCATCATTTTTATAATAATGCAATTCATAATAATATACACGTTTTATTACTAAGTCACTAAATATATTTTATAATAAAAATAATCCCGTTACGAAAAATGAATATTAATAATTATTATTATTAGAAAGTATTGAGGTGCATTGGATGTTGAATATACGATCGTGTATCTATATTCTATATATTATAATATAAAAACAAGTTTAATATTTTATTCTTCGAAAATTGACTTCATAACAACTATTGTTTAATTTTTTAGGTTTATCAAAGTCTTGATTGCTTACTTATTATTTTTATTTTTTTTGGTTTTTCATGAGTTAAATTGTTATTGGTTTTCACTTTTCAATAACACCGATATGTCCTTCATATTGTATGAATAAATACTATAAATCGTGTTAATCATTTTATATAGGCAGGTCGAACCAATAACTTCTTAGGTACCTAAGTAATATTCTTCAATAAATGTTGAAATCCATGTCTTGTTTACATCATGTTTTAATTCAAAAATGAATGACCGTAGGTAAGTAATTGCAATTTTTACTAAATGTGTATGGTATAATTTCCAAATATTTCTACACTTTTTGAACTATTTATAGAAATGTTAAAAATTAGAAATGTTTGTTTTCTACAAATATCAATAAAAAAAATAAATATTTTAGATGAAGAATAACGATTTTAGTTATTTTTTGTGGTGATTGAAATTTTAAATTTTTAACTATACCAACATAAATTATTGTATTTTATATACACAATAACATTTTCAAAACATTTGAGTAATTTTGTGCAAGCCTAGGCATAAAAAAGTTAAAAAAATAAAAGTTAAGTTCATTTTAAAATTTAAAATTTAAAATTTTTATTTTTATTAACTTAATTTTTAACTTAACTGATTTTAAATTCTGAGCTGAGCGATGAATGTGTTGATTAACAATGATGTGTGTGTTTTTTTAATATTATTTTATTTTTTTATTTTTATATGTGTCAACACCGTTTGGGGCAGTGAAACTGCTTCTATTTTTTTCAACAGTATCTTGTTGGATGGGAAAGTGAATCTAGTTGGTGCTTTCGGGAGGTCAAATTTGATTTGTTTTAAACTGTTTATGGACATTGTCAGTTTTAAATTTTTTAGTTTTTATTTCTATAATTGTTAATAAAATTGTATTTGTTGGGCAAAAAGCGTGAAAATTAATTACAAGGCTCCTGATATATTGTTATTTCAGCAGTTTAAAAATATTAAAAATACATAGGCACAATTTTTTTATTAAAGTAATTAAAGTTCGAATTTTGACAAAATATAATAATTATTTTGTAGTTAAAAATGTATAAAATTTTCAATTTTTATAGCTAAGGATTGAAAATTTAAAACAAGGTTCCACTTAAATAGGTTATAACTTATAATATATAAATTACTTTATTCACTATAATATCACCAAATATATTTAGTAATAAGTAATATCATATAGGCTGACTGACCGTCTTCGCTCAGAATCGTTTTTCTTAAATCTACAATGATATTATATCATAGAATACAAAGTTAACACCAACCATTACAGTGACCCACTTGTAACCTACAGTACAGCAGAGTGACACACATTGCCCCACCTTTTTTTTTCTATGAACGTCAATATAATTTTATTTGTTGGGTAAAAAAGCTTGAAAATGTAATACAATACTTCTGAATCCTGATATATTGTTACAGTAGTAGTTGAAAAAAATTAAAAATACATGGACACAATTTGTTTTTATTAGCATTTGAAGTTCAATTTTTGACATCATTTGTCAAATTTTAAAATTTTAAATTATTTTGAGGTTAAAAATGTATAGTATGTTCATATTATTTATAGCTATAGATTGAAAATGTATAACAAGGTTCCACGTAAGTAGGCTATATTCTGTAACCAAAATATCTCAAAAATATAAGAACACAGTTTTTTTTTATAGTTATTTTATGTTAAAATTTGGACGAAATTACATATTTTTTTTATTTTTTTTTATTGATCTTTAATAAAGCCCGGCGACTATGGCCATTAGCTGATTGTGGGGTTTTATGATTGTAGGTGGTAAGTAGTGCTTGTAATGGTAGGGTTTTTACACGTGTGTGCTGTGTTTTGGCAGAATTTTTGATTGGGCACCCGTAGGTATCTGCCATGCCCGGATGGGGGATGGCGGCACTTGTTCTCCGGACACAGTGACTTGTCCGAAGAAAAATGCCGCCCGTGGCCAAGGAATCGAACTCGGGTCATCTGCGTTTCAGCCGACGCCTTAGTCTGCTCTGCCACTCCGTCCCCCTATAGAATTATATATTAAATAACCAAGAATAACAATTTTAGTTATTTTGTTGTAATTTTATAATATTAATTCAACTTACCGGGTACCATATTACACTATTACTTATTAGTTATTATTAATAACAATATAAAATATAAAATGTATAATATACTATAGGTAAAATATCCACACTGACAAACCGTCTCCGCTCAGAATCGTTTTTCGTATACAATGATATATCATTGAATTCAAATTTAATACCATCCATTATACAGTGACCCACTTGTCCCCTTCTGTACAGCGGAGCAACATCCAATTACCCACCTTTTTGTTGATATAGACTTAATAAACAACGAGTTAATTTTAATCAAATCCAAGTGACGATAATTTTTAAATAATTAAATAATAAATATTATAATGCAATATTATTATGGATGACACATGTTGCGTAAACATTTACTTTTTATTATTTTAAACCATATTACTGGCTATTTATAAATTTAAATTAAAAATAACTTAAGTTAAGTCAATTGACAATAAGTACAATTACTAAAAGTTTCCATGTAACTTTTAACTTAATTGAGTTAAAAAAAAATTAAGATACTATTAACTATAAACTTTTTAAAATATTTTCTATCAACTTAACTTAGCTCAATTAAAAATTATCATTAACTTGCCCAGGCTTGATTTTATGCTATTGGGTAATAATAGTTTATACCGTATAACTGATAATAAATAAATTAATATGATAATATTAATAGGAATGTATTTATATTTTTTCGTATGCAATGATGTCATTGAATTCAAATTTAACACATTTTACATTGAACTCAATGACGAGATACATTCGACTCCTACTGTACGGTTACCTACTAGAGCTGTTACCTACTTACTCTATTTTTGGTGTCTAATTTTAGGAAAAAGTAGAAGATAAAATATTTTACCTGGAGTAGTTGATTGTGTGTTCTAGCTTCGGTGGGTCTCGCGATTACATAATGAGAACTGACATTTCTAGAAGTATTACTTCTTTTAGAAGTAAATTCTTTTACAGTAGTTCCGAAATCTAGAACAGTAAAATGCAGTACTATAATCTTTATCTTATTATTCACATTTCTGTGATGGAAATGATTTCTATCTTCATTTGGACTTTTAAATGGACTAATTGCATAACCATGCACTGGATTGAAGTATTCTTTATGCACCATGATTTCAGTTTGTTCTGTCGGACGAAAACATTCAGGATAAATAATTTCAATAGGTTGTAGTACTTGATCACACGTTGTATTTGTACAATCAAAAAATGGAAGAAAAATCAAATGAAATGTCACAATATATATAAAGCTTTTCATTATTATTTATTATTGATGTTTAAACTTCTATGAAAAATTAATATTACCTATTTTATAAATGTATTAATAAAACTATTGCACTATATTTGCGATTTTTTGAATCAAATATATTATGAGTGATATATTTCATGAGAATTAAATTATATTGTATTGAACGGATTATTTAATAAGAATTAATAATCAATATTAATAGGGACCTATTATAGATAGTATTTTTGATACCATATAATAACTATTCTGCCAATAGCAATCTTGTATAGTTTTACTATACAGAGTGATTCTTTTAATAGTAAATACCCATAGTGCACTCTCAAAAAGTATTAATATTTTTAAACTAATATTATTTTCATTATTTGAATCTGTTTAAATTATCATTCTTGAGGAAAAAATTTATTTTTACTTTTTTGGATGAAAATACGCATTAATTTTGGTTCTCAAAAGAGAATATTTTTTTAAGAATTTTGAAGTATTAAAATTGAATTTCAAACTAGTAGGTACCTAGTTACTTAGTTATGAATAATAACTCTTAAGATTTTAACTTAATTTTATCAAATTTAATCTATTCTTATATAAAAATTTCTTAAAAACATAACAATTCACTAAAAATGTCTAAAAATGCAAAATAAAAGTTACATTTGTTAATTCCTTGATGTATGAAATGTACTTTGTGCTTGGAAAGCAAAGTTTTCAAACATTCAGAAAAAAATGCAATTCGCATTCATATCCGTTCCCTAGTTATTATACATGTTATTTCATATTATTAAGGGTGTAGTTGAACAACATTTTTCAGAGTAGGTACCGCTTCAGTTTATTCGTCTAACGTCTTCTGCGTCAGAATATGAAATTAACTGATATAAAATAAGTGTAAGTCAAAAAAAAAAATTATAACAATAATAATAGTAAAAATATGTAGTTTTCTTAATGTTGTTTTTTGATGAATTAAAATTATGTATAAAACATATTTTCAAAAACTTTCTTTTATAATGAGTTTCTATTGTTAAAAAACATCAAGTACCTAAACTACAAGTTCATCTTAAGGTTATCGTTTTCAAATGGTAAAATAATGTTATAATTATTACAAATAATTAAGAGTTTGGGAGCTGGTCACATGTTTGAATGACGTCTGTTCCAATTAAAAGTTTTCGAATTATTATATTTTGTTCGAAGGTCATGTATTCTAATCATATAATAATAATTGAAGTAAGCCAAATGTAAATAAGCACTATTAAGTATGGGAGAGCGGAGTTAGTTGTTACATTGGAGATATCTTGATAACCAATTATGGTAACACTGTGGAAACTCAAGAAACAAATTCCATTATCATTACCCCTATATGCTTTGTGATAATATCCAGTATAAATAAACGGTATCAAGAATAACCTTCAGTTTTCTGTTTTTTGCTAGGTATCAAAAGTAATTTTTTTTCATGATTTTCTTTTTTAATTACAACCCACCCCAATGGAAACTAAGATTATTTTGATACTCAAAATTTGTTTATTATATAATACTACACCAAATTCTAGTAATATAATTCAATAGTATTATTTTATTTGACAAAAAAAAATTGTTTAAGAAAAAAAACCATATGGGGAAAGTTGTGTCAGTCCGTTTAATTATAATATGTTATTGTTATAAAAACACCGATTTTTGTCCTGCGCGTCTCGCGCGTCGAGTCACTCGACACTTGCTCGGTGTTAGCGTGATAACGTGGTTCTCGACCTACCAATCGCTTCATTTATGATGCACAAAAAATATTTGATCTCTCTTGGAAGAGTATAGGTACTGTCATTGTTAATTTTTTTTTTTTTTAATTTGAATTCAATTTCAATATAATATATAGGTGCAGTAACAATATGCCCCACCTTGGGGCAAGTTGTTATAGATTGACAAGGCGACTAGAAATATTTATTTTAGTATTAAAAATGTACTTATTTTTGAATTTTTTTACTTAGACAGTTACCTAAGAAGTTACTTAATAAAATGGTCTTACATAAATTATGATACTGATCAAAAAAAAAATATTAAAATTATATTTGTGAAATTTTAACAACTAACCCCTCTCTCCCCTACTGCTTTAAGTTATTTTTCAAAAGTATAGGCTACCTAAGTGAAAAAATAAAAATTTGAGTTAGTTAAGGCAAGCCAATACTAAGAATTTTTTTTAGATTTAAGTTAATAATAAACAAACACTATATTTAACTCTAAAAGTTTAAAAGACGATGTCAGAGGACTATTTGTTTTCTTTCTGAACCAAGCGCAACATGGCAAATGTACATTTAACAGAGCCAACCCTGTGTTGTTACTTTTAATATTAAAGTGAATTCACCTATTTTCAAACTTTAAGTTAAGAATATAACCTGTGTCACTACTCTTGGTTTTTTTTACGAAATTTTAATTTTAATTTAGTTTATAAACATTTTTAAATTACAATAATTTACACACGTTCTTAGCATTGGCTTACCTAACCTAGCTCAAACAAAACCAACTCATTAGTATATCTTAGGTTAAAAAAGTCACTAAGTCTATGGTCGTAAGCGTTAAGTTACCAGTTTGACGTCTCTATCTCTACCGATGATCGCAAACTACTTGCAGGTTATTACAGTCCAACAAACTGGTCATGAATACTGTTTTTTGATTCGTAATAATAGTCGGTTAGCGTATGTGACTAGAACACGAGATGGCCCAACAGTGCATGTTATCTTGTAGGTGGCATTGCCCGAGTATGGGCAAACTGTTATTATTATATTTCCAAGTATTATTATGGCTGTACCGCGGTATTTATGATGAATCCCGTCAGAGACAACACAAATAATGGATATCTGACCATAAACAGGAGAACATAATATTACTTTGTTATAGGTACCTGCTATATTTTATAACAAATAAAAACATGTTTTTTTTTTTTAAAGAAAAATTGCATCTTTAAAAATGCATTAGCTTCGCCTTAAACATGTATAGATACCTACTTGATGCATAATATGCAAGCACTACGGAGATTAAAAGTAAGTAACATTTGAAAAATTACTTTTTCTTTTACTTTTAGTATATTATGACTCTTGAAACAACATTTGTACATAATTCGATTATGTGCGTAGTTGTTAAAATTAAAACATGGTTAATAACACTTCAACATTTAGCGGGGGATATACGCTATCTGGATATTTTCCAAATATAATAAACAACATTTTATTGATCGTCATAATATTATTATGTACGAGTACGATTATAATTAAAACAAATTACAGTAGAAGCATTTATGTGTTGTAACTTGTAACTATATTGGCCAGCGTTTTTATTGTGGCTCCGCAATAATATCATTTCCATCGGTGTAATGAATATTTTATATTATACAGAGTGCATTACGAGGATTAGTCATTTTTAATAAGTACCTATACACAGTGGCGTAATTTGGTCATGGTTGTGGGGGGGGATGAAATGTATGTACATTTCACCAATTACCCCCCCCCCCCTCAACATTTTTTTTTTAACCGTATAAGGCATAAGCTATAAGCAATAAGCACCCCTCAATACAAGAATACAACCATTATGATCTGTATGTAATAACTAGTAGCCGGAATTATATTCTTTTGCATATTTTTTTTGAGTCTATGCAGTCAGACGGGGGTTCGAAATCTTTACAAATCATGAAACAGGTGAGTTAATGGCAAAAGTTTATTTTGCATATTTGGGAATATTTCAAGATAAAAGAATATTTCGTATAATAAAAAATATTAGAGAATATATCGATTAATTTTTATAGATGTTCGATATTTTTTGTTGCAGTGGCCTAAATAATATAAATAGCACATATAAAAACATTTTAACCGACCGTACTACAAATATGACATCAGGGAACATGGAACAAAATATAGTTGTCAACTGTTTTCAAACATTTTCTTAGTTAAAAATTTAAAATTTAAAATAATTAAATATTAAATCAAACTTTTCTTAACAAGTAGTATTTTTTATTATGTAGGTACCTATTTATATCAGGTTTTTATATTATTTTGCATATTATGTACCTATTTATTTATATGAGTTCGTATTATTTGCTTAATTATTTTGCATATAAATGCATATTTTTAGTTCAAGAGAATATTTTAATAAAAAAGCATTTTTTTTGCATATTTTATTATTATTTTTAAAGAATATTGGAAGAATATTTTCAACTTTTTAAGAGAATATTAATTATTAGCATCTTATTTTGGCTATTTTAAAAGAATATAATTGTATCACAGTGTGATCACGATTTTAGGTACCACTGAATATCTCAGATGGCTGACTTTGTATTGAAATGGGGTTTTCGGGAGGTGATAGCCGATAGGAAGCACTTAAATACATATTTTCAGACCAGTTTAAAATTTTTAGCTCACTCGGTATGCGCATGCGCAATTTGACTTACTTTTTGTTAAATGGCAACCCCACTTTTTTTCTACAGATTCGGGTAGAGTATTTTTTTTTAAACATTTTTTGTATTGAAAGTTTTTCTATTTATAAAACTTACCAAGTTAGAGAAAGTCAAATTTTGGATTTATTCATAATACGTGTTTAATGCAATTTGCATTTATAACCAGTTGAAATAATAAAATAAGTGCCAAATAAATGTTTGATTAGGGGGGGGAGGGTGGCTGAGTGGACTAAGGCGTCGGTTGTGGCCGATTTCCGTCCGCCATTAAACATTTATTTGGCTCTTATTTTATTATTTCAACTGGTTATAAATGAAAATATCATTAAACACGAATTATGCATAAATGTTCAATAAATGTTCAAAAATAAATACTCTACCTGAATCTGCAGAAAAAACTGGGGTTGCCATTTAAAAAAAAGTAATATTGCTCATGCGGCATGCGCGTACCGAGTGAGCTAAAAATTTGAAACTGGTCTGAAAATATGTATTTAAGTGCTCTCTATCACCTCCCGAAAACCCCATTTCAATACAAAGTCATCCATCTATGATATTCAGTGGTACCTAAAATCGTGATCACACTGTATATGATAATATTGATGGATGATTATATATTTGTATAATATTATGGAGATTCGGGTGATTTTTGTATTATATATGAAATATATATTAATAAAATTAGTACATAAATGTGTTTGACGATTAAAAAAAAAAAAAAAAAAGGTCAAGGGGGGGGGGGGGATACGACACCCAAATCCCCCCCCGTAATTACGCCACTGCCTATACATATATATAAAATTGTAATGCATTTCTATCTAATATTCATAACATATTGTATACTATAGTGTATATAGTTAGTGTTTACCTTTATTTAGTTTTAAACTTTTAAATAATCAATTTATTTTAAATTCTGTCCTTTGAGCAAGGATCGTCTTAATTTTGTAATAATGTCTTAGGAAAACTAAAAATTGTCTGTAAATATTTATTTTGTGGTTACATATTATTAGTTATTTTCAGCCTATTTTCAATAAATATATATTTTAAAACAACGCCCAAGTTAATTTTCAAGTATTTTAATAATAAGTACCTAGCTACTATATTTATTTGTATAGGCTTGTTATATTTTAAGTAACATATATAATTCTGAATTTGAATAATAGACACTAAAATTTACTTCAATAACGATCTTCATAAATTATTGACAGTGAAATTACTTAAATTGTTGGTGCGCCTTAAAATAAAGATAAAACATTATGAACACAAAACAACATTATGGCCTTTCATTCTATAAAAGCAAAAGCGCACGCTTGTGTGTGTGAGCTTGTTTGTACTCAGAACTGATGTGTGCAACGAGAACGTACTATGTTACACAAAATCGAAGCTGTAAGATGTGGCGCCAGCGATCGTCTGAAAGGGATGTTTTATGAATGAAGTTTTTGGTATGTCGCCCACGTGGAATGCGAATATCCCTTCACAGCGTGTGTAACTATATGGACCGAGGTTTATATTTCAGAGGGGATGGTATTGCGGGGACGAAGGGGTAGCCATTGACGTGGCGCCAACGAATCCCCGACAAAGGATTAATAGCCATTGGGTTTCGAAGAATACTTTCCGATATAAAACGCAGTCCTATATAAATCATAATACAATAACATACTTGAATGCATCATTGAAATGAAGATCAAATTAACTTTCTTGTATGTTAAAATGTTTTATTTTTATTTTTTGCCAGTATATTGACTATATTATATAATTAATATTAAAAATAATATAATTTAAACTTAAAAAATAAAATTGCAACGTTACTCATACAATATTTTTCCAAACATAATACCTATAATTGTTATATTTAATTCAATAAGACAAACAATAACAGACAAAGTTAAATACACTTATGAAAGTCTGTGTTATACAATATTACAAAAAATAAAATATAAATAATACTATAACGTAGACAATACGACAACTGGTCACTTTTACTAATATTACCTAACATCATTGTTTTATTGATTAATTATTTAAGTACTACTTATATTAAATATTCTAAGATGGATAAAATATTATTTGTAATATAATAATCGTATAAGCATAAAAATAGTTATCTCGTATAGGTACATAATATATTATTCATAAATTGGTTTTAAAAATGTTCGTTTACTTTATAATATTATTATATGGGTATTATATTATATTATATGAATAAATCTATATTCAGATATTGGTTTGAAATGTTGAAATAAATATATTATTGCAATTAATAAATAAACATGAAGTGTATTTAGAACTTTTTCTGAGGCTTTAAGTCACTAATAATTACCTAATCTAAAAATTATTTTTCGGGAAAAAAGTAATAGATTGATATTCTTACTATACCACTTTTTATAGTACGAGTAGTTTTCCTGTTTTACCTATATATTCTACATGTATGCTGGCTTATATAAATTAAAATATAATATTTAATCAATACTGTTATTCTGTTTTATATTTATTATACATTTTATAGTAGTTTTACAAATTTTTTAAATCCTGTTTGAAAAAAAATTATTAAGTGAATTTCAATTGAATCTATTCGTATAGGTACCTACTTGTGTTCTGATACATTATAATACAAGTATAGCACTATGTTAAATTTAAACGATAATAACTTGCGTTGGATTAAAAAAGACTCAAATGATACTTCAATGGTAAATTATCATAATTATTCTTAAATGATTTATAAGTAGGAATTATTATTTTTAATTGTTCAATAGAACTTAACAGAAACACCTGATGGTAGTCTTCAAGAATGTAATTCATCTAACGCTTTTTATGTAAATATTATAATATTTATTCACTCATAAAATAATTATTATATTGTTAACTGTATTAAGAATGATATACATGTTTAATAAATTAGAGCCTTAAAAAAAAACGCAACAGAAACAATTTGAGAAAAAAATATGAGAAAAATGACAGTTTAACTTCTTTGAATATGTCAGATTGGCCAAATCAACAAAATCTACTCACACATTACCCTATTAAAGTAAATTGTTTCGTTTACGATAAGAGATAATGTCTATGTAATATGTTTGCTATTTTTTTTTAGGAAATTAGAAAGTCAGATGTCTGTGCACAGGTTCTTGATACAAATAGTTTAAAACATTTTAGCATGCATCCCACGTGTACTTTAAATATATATAATAATTATTATCCAAATTCATTAATGACCGATTCAAATCCTATACATGATGTATCAAAATGTTTAACTCGTAACCAGTCCTTTACTGAGCACATTATTCCAAGTAGCCAATCATCAGTATGTCTAGCATTTATTATACCTACATTATATTTCACTGTGTTTATAACTGTTTTGGTTTTACTTTACATTTCTACTAATAGCTCAGAACGAATATTTGCATCACGGAATCATGGAGAGAAATCAATCACGTTGATAAAATTAAACTCACTGCAGCTTTATTATTTCATGTGGTGGGTACCTATTTCTAATATTCTAATGTAATAAGTAAAATAAGTATAATAGCCAATAGGTTAGTTTATATACAGTGTACCTTGTATTAAATTTTCATTAGGTTTTACTTAAAAAAAAAAAAAAAATTATAAGTACATAAATCAATAAAAAAAACTAATAAATTTCAATTATAAATAAAAAACAAATATAAAACATTAATATAAAAACAAATTATTTTGAAAATTTTATCAAGTATAGAAAAATATGCTAATTTATGTATTCAGTTAAAAATTAAATTCTATAAAATTATTATTCATTTTGAATTGGAGCCAAAAACCTAAGTTAGTTTTTTCAAAAACTTAATAATTTATTTTTGTTTTTCATGGTTATTTTTAAAAACGCTGCGAATTTAACTATTTAAATCTATTTTTTTTACAAGAAACAACCCTAAAAATTTAAAATTGAAGAATTTAAACTCTTTCTAAAGGCAAAACACCCAACATTTAAAAAAATTTAAAAAACGCACACCACTGTATACAAGCATCAATAAGGTTGCATTATTAATTATAAAGGCCCACTGAATGGCATAAGCATATAATATTTTAATTTGTACCTTTTCTAAATCGTACTTATACTGTCTATATTGTACCTATATTATAATTTAATCAGTAGACACTTATGAGAAAATTATATATTATAATGAAATCTGTGGAAGTGGAAATTGTTATCATAGGCACTTAGCTTGTATAATATAATTCAATAAGAGTTTTTACAACATAATATTCTCAAACATTGTGGTTTATAATTATTCATTTTTATGTATTAGAATTCAGTGACCAATAAAATAATGCCGCTTATTAATTTACATGCATTAGCCAATCCGTTTCTGCAAATTCCAATTCAGGTACGGATATATATTTTATAGTTTTATTTAACATGATCATATTATAACAATGTAGGTAATATAAATTATAATTATTAGATTAATTTATTATTATAATTTTTCTAAAAGTTAAAATTGTGTATACAAATAAAATATTATATGGTGCTTTACTGGATGTGTGCTGAATTTTAAATGTAACGATAGCTGATATTACTGAAATAAGAAAGGTACGTTTAATATTCTCATTTTATGTTATTATTCATTATAATTAATAATAGTTGATATAACTAAAACCGGTTATTTATTAGTTATAAAAAAGAATTACTTAACAACAGGTGTACTGTTTTATATCATATTATAATCTGCAAGACATCTGGCAAAGTTTCATTTATCGTTATTGTAAAAGTTGAGGTGCAAATGCATATCATTATTATACTTTATATTGATCTACCCATCTGTACCTATATTATGTTTAAAAAACATTTTAAATTTTTATTTTTTATTACAAGTTTGTTATAATTTGAAATTTAGTCATTGTTATGTTCTATCCTCTTTCTTTAGCAATTACTCAATTTTGATTTATCTGTTCAGGTTTGTCGTATGGCAAATAATATTAATTTGAATATGGCTGAAGTGTTATGTAGAAAAAGAACCGAAGTTGCTGTAATTTCCTGGATGGCAACTACACTGAATCAGCAAAATACATCAACACGGGTATTTTAATAACTATTAGAAAGATCCAAAAATTTGAAACGTTTTTAAACTTTAACCTGTAAATCTATTTTAAAATCAAACAACAATAAAAATTAAGTATTTACTATTTTAATATGTTAGAATAAAAATAAAATATTTGTTTTATTTATCTTGATTTTGTGTAAAAAACAACAAAAAAAAAATCAATTTTATCGAAAACGGAAGTTTTTCGTAAAAATCAACGTTTTTTACAATTTATTTTTTATTTTTCCTTATCTATTTTGAGAATTACTGGGAATTTTTACCCCCTCTATCCCCAAGTACAAACTATATCAAATTTCCTACCAAAACAATTACTCAAAGTTGAAATTGAAGCATACAACTACTCCAAATGCCAAAAGGGGGCGACAGGCACAAAAATAAATCATTATAAAATACATTTATTTCTCCATCACTCAAAATCTAAAATACTTGGTGCTTTAATCTTACTTTATACATGATTGAAAGCAGTGGGCTATAGCCCCCCCTCTATTGACTGTGTTGACCTTAGAATTTTATCTAGATTAATAAAAAATAAAAAGGGTAAATAAAACTATAAAAGACATATTGTATTTGTATTTTTTGTGAGACTTAGCCCCCCCCCCCCCACTAAGACAAAATTCTTGGCTACGCCACTGTTTAAAAGCATAAAGTTTGAAAAATTATTGAATTATAATTGGCATTTTGGCTTAATTCCCGAATAAAGTGAATCTTACTTAATAAACCATAGTTATTTTATCCTTTACATTTGTTTTATTTTGTAGATTTATTGATTAAATTGTTGAGCCACGAGAAGTAAACAAAATTATGTATTATGAAAATTATCTAAAAATAATTGTTCCTTTTTGACTTTCATATATTTCATATGAGTGCGTTGTATATTAACTCTACTACCTTAGCCCTTAGGTATATCGTATATATACTTCCTAAACACATGTGTATGAGGATTTTAAATTTAAATAAAGTATACTTCATTCCGAAATCAAAAAAATTCTAATCTCAACCGAAATGATTGTTAATATTGGTTACTATTAGGTTAATTTACTAGTGTTTTTTTTTTTTTTAGATATAATAATGTAACTTGAAACAATATTGGATTATATATCTGTACCTATAAATAGGTACTACAGTAGTATTAGTTTTATTTAGTGTTATTATGATTGTTGTTATTATTATTATTAATATCAGTTTATTTTCTTATTTTTGTTGAGCAGTATTCAGGCGCATTGCTAGGGTTTGGGGACAAGCTAGGTAGACCATTGGATTAGGGTTAGAATGGAAACATTCAAGGATACTGGGGCAGAATTTTGTAACATTGGTAGAAAATGAATTATTTAATCATGTGTAGTTTTAAGATTCACAACTCATAAAATAAAAAAAAAGTTTTAGACTATAAATAATAAAACAAACAAAAATCCGATTTATTTTTATTATTATTCATCACTATTTTTTTTTATAATAATTTATTAGTATTGGCTATTGAGTAGGTAGAAACCTAACTTAATGTTTTTTTCTTATTGTAACTGATAAGACAAGTTTAATATCAATGTATACATCAATTGTGCCAAAAATCACAGGTGAAAAAATTATGGAATAAAAAATGGTTATAAATCAATTGCACCAGATGATATTGAGTGACATATTGGGGTGTACATCAATTGTACCACCACATACGTATAATAGCTTTCTATCTTCATGTGATAAAATTAGAAATTTATCAAAACAAAACATTCACTAACGAAAATCAGATAAGATAATAATAATAATAATATTACATGAAGAATAAACGAAGTTCCACAAATTATATTACATTGTTCCAAAATCCAAATGATCATGTAGCACAGACATAAAATAACAACAATATTGTATATACCTGTGGTAATGTGGTATGTTATACATACATTGTTTCACCATACGTATATAATTGCTTATTAAAATAAGATACCGGAAAAAGTTTTTACCTATATTTCTTATATGGTGTAAATTAAAATATAGTACCTACATGTGAATCGGGAATATTTTTGATATATTTTGTATTGAACAAATTTTAAAATACACATATTTTGTATTTTGTTTGTATAGTTTATACTAACTGAATTTTATATGATTTAAAATAAAATACCAAACAAAATTGGTACCTATCTAAATCTATAGATATAATATCTTATAATTCAATATATGTGAATCGTGATGTATGTATTATATTCATATTCAGTAATTTTTAAGCATAGATTTTTTAAATACATCCATTCTACTGTACACATTTTGAGAAATAATTTAAATAAAAATGTTAATAGTGTGTACATCGTTATTTTTTGAATTTTTCCAATAACATTGTGAATGTCATATAGCCATATAGGTTTTAATTTTTTAATTTACATTTCGGTAGGGGGCCACTAATATTTCTCGTCTTATCATATAATTGTCTGAATACAAATATACTTGTATACATGTACACATCCAAATGTCCACTAATTTGTCTACTATTTTATAATAAATGTCCAAAAAGCAACGAATCACATTAATTCCACGATAGACGCGAACAGATAACACTGTTGTGTGAAAGCACATAAAAATGTCGTCTCGGGACAAGGTTTTTCAATTAACCCGCAATAAACACCTCTCTCCGGTCTACATCGGACCCCATAATATACAAAACGAGTCAATAATTCTGTCCGGTGCTGAATATTTCGCCCGTTGGAATGTCCGACATTCTGTGGAACACGTATCCTGTTTTCCTTTAAATAATAATATACTTATATACATATCGTAGTATCGTACAATAGTAAGACCAACTCGTAATAAAAATTAATGTATTAAAAACGATACAAAATAGTTCAATCGAAATAGGTATATATTATTATTTTTTTTTTTTTTATAGCTTATTAGATACGTAAAACTGACTATTGATACTCACTGAGTATAGGTAGGTACAATTTTTATTGTTTTCTACACACGCGTTGTTCCTGTAACGTCAAGATACTGTTTTCTTTTTATAATAATACTTACACTTTATATATTGCTGTTGGATAATACATAACGAATAAGGTAAATCAAGAAAACTTTATTTTTATTATTTCAATCCGTATAAAAAATATATAAATTATGTAAATTAATAATCACGGGATTGTATAACTGTAGTGTCAACATTATACAAGCTAATAGTTATTAATCGAGAACTAATTATTACAATTTGACAGTTAATTAAACAAATAGTTTTGAGTGTTACATTATTATCATGTGAATTAATATAAACAATAAATATGGTGACAAAAAGCCATAAAGGTTTAAAAATAGTTTAAAAATTAATATAAATATTAATGCAGGGTGAATAATTTATAAAGTCAGTGAATCTGAAAGCAGAACGCTAAGTCACCAATGACACTGAAATTATAATAGTACGTACAATCAATAATTAAACAAGTAGTTTTGCACTAAAGTGCAGGGTTTTTTTAAATACCCTCTTAACATTTTATTGGATTCACAGTAATAAGAGTAATAACAAAAATAATTATATTATTTTAAATTTAAATAATGATAATTTATTAAAATGACAATAATATTACACGTTAAACAAAGATGCATATTCGCCATATTCTATTTAGTTATGATGATGATATTATCACTTGCATTTAGAATGTAGATAACCAACTCTTATAATTTGTAAAAGCATGTTAAACAATATTTATATATATAATAAAGTGAACTAAGACTTCAATAAAAACGTATTCTAAAATACCGTTTGAATCATTCGGAAATTAAAAAGAAGAAAATAAAACATAATTGGTATACAATATCGACGGTTTACAGGTAAGTTACGTTTGTCACGCATGTCTTATATTAGTATTCCACGGCGTTAGTTAGTTTTCGTGTTTAAAACAATAGAACAAAATAGTTTTAACTCGATGTCCACATAGTTTCTTTTGTGACTTAGACTCCTAAAAAAAAATCGTTCATCGAGAACAAAACTGTAATGTTTTTTTTTTGTGCTATTCGTGGGACGAGGTAAACCAGTGCTAATTAAAAACCGGACAAAATAAGATTTTTAGTAGTTCGTTTTTTCACAAAAGATTTTTTCACTACCATTCTACGAATTATAAACGTCGGCAAATGACGAGCAAAAATAACATCCAACATGGGAGAACGAAAATTAAATTTAAAAAAACATAGGTACTGACAGAATCAACACGAGATTGTCTGATCTTGTTTTGCTCCCCATGGAGTATTGTCTATGCCATCAAAACAAATTTCATCAGTCGATCATAAAACCAGTGTAATATTTAGATAATTCGTTTTGTCTTAAACTGATAATATTTCAAATAATTTTCAAACATCATCAGCGTCTATATTATTGTTAAGGTATTAAGAGCAAGGCATGTTGTGTTGTCTATTTTGAGTAAGTTTCAGGCGTAGGTTTAATAACTTAAAATTAGGTTAATATTTCTCATTAAATTACATTTAAATATTTATTTTTTATACAGCTCTAGTAATAACACTTTTTGAATGATTGTTTTATAATTTGATATTATACGTAATACATAATACATATTATCATTTATTAAGATATAAAATATTTAAATTTGGGAATTATTTTTGATACTTGATAATTGTATAAGTTTTTGGCTCATTGAAGACTTTTAGGATTTATTGTAAATAGGAAAATACATAATAAACAACTTAACGACAATAGAAGTTCTAGATAATATTATATGGGTAACTTTTCCGATAAGTCATATAAAACTATATATATATATAATTTGTAGGTGCATTATAAATTGAATGTTGAATACTTGAATCTAATATATTACTTACAAAATTAGATAAAATGTATCATATTATAATATTTAAAAAATACAACATGTCTTATACTTTTGGTTTGCGTTTCGTAAATGTCTTTAACAAATTAAAATGTCATACCTATGGAAATACAATTGTAGTATATAAATTACTATAGATTAAAAAAACAAAATTTCAAATAGGAACGATCTTGA